CCCCCTTGGCCCGTGACTGTTCTCACACAAGAACAGAGACATTCAGCTGAGGTTACAGACCCGGACTCCCGAAGTCAGCGCTTGCTCGTTTATGTAGTCGGCGCACGCAAGCGTAGAGAAAGGGCAGAACCAGGGATTGTGTAGAGGTTGAACACAACACAGGGCTGTGGATGTAGGTAAGGCACTCATACTTTATGTCTTTGGCTACAGATAATTCTAGAATCACAGGTGGGCCTCTAGGTGCCATAGCTCACAGGTGGAAAGTGAGACCCCACTTTCAAGGCATGGACCCCCGTCTTTGTCTTTTTTCCCCTCTTGTCCTGATCCCCCACCATGTGCCTAGGGTTGACGGGGAGAAGCCTCTGGCTTCAGCTGTGACAGAACCACAGAACCAACAGTGCCATAGAGCCCACAGGGCCCTGGTGCTGTGGTCTTGGTGTCTTTGGTAAATTCTAGAACAGAACCTGCAGGAGGCAGAAGCCAAGCTTCCCCTATCTCCCACAGCCGCTGGGAACAGCCACTCACCAGGGAAGAAACTAATATTTCCTAGGCACCCACAAGGGGCCCAGCATCGGGGGTGACCCTTGCACATGGCAATTTACAAGCTCTCACGGCAGCTGGGGAGGCAGGCTGAATTAGTCTTCTTTGGCAGAACACTTAAGGATTCGAGAGGTTAAGGAATCTGTCCTACATCCGTTAGGGAACCGGGATTCACACCCAGTGCCATCTGCTCCCAAAGTTCTTAATTTTTTTTCCTGCTATAGCCTTTTCTAGGGACGTCTCATCCTTCCGGCTCATTTTCCTCCTAAACTGTAGTACTAGGAGGTGGCCTAGAAACTGTTCTCACTAATGACACAGGGAACCATTTGTGTTTAGTAGAGTTTTTAAAGAACATTTTATTTCAGTTAGGATTGGTTATGAAAGCAATCCGAGTATTCTCTCTTTAACACTCAGGAATAAATGCGGCAATGTAATTGCATGTGTCTATGATATGTACCTTCAAATGTAACAAACAGCTGGCATGCATGTCCATGTCACTGATATTCCAACATATTATCACCTATTAGTGGCAGTACATTAAGTCTACTGTGCCTGCCGGTGGAGATTTTTAGGTAATAACTGAGAGTTAACACTAGATCATACTTGAAGTCAATTTATATGGGGCGGAAATGTGGGTGCATGGAAAGCAGCCCACTTTCAAGGAGAAGGCATAAAATGGCAATAATATAGCAGAGTTCTCATTGGAGAGCTTCTGATTCTGGTGGGGGCTTGCCAGTCAGCCCTTCAGCTGCAGACCTGCTCCAGGGGCTCAAACTTGCAATGGCTGGTGGACTGTGGTCCCTTCTTGTGCTGTCTCTTGAGTACAATGAAGGCTGCCTGATTTTTCTGTATGTTTTGTTGTCCCCAGAATTGTTGGACAGGTGCTCTGTGACGTCTCAAGGGCAGTTCTTTCATCTGGTGCCTCTGTGACATTTAGACTAGACTTGAAGGAAAGGCAGTCCTTCATTCCTTGGGCACACCTGTCCAGAGGACAGCGCCCCCTTTCCACCTCCTCGGCACACCTGCCCACATGAAGTTTGCTATGTTGCTGGGGACGTGAGGCCTAGCTAGTGGGATGAGATTATAAATGACCGTCCCTCAATGTGGCCCTCTGTCCTGGGCCGAGGAACCCACCTCTGCCTGGGGCCTCACGGGAAGTCCTCACGGGAGATGATATGTGGACTGGTCTCCATGATTTTCAAGAGCAGTTGTTTGGGATTGAAAAGGCCACTCTGGGGACATCTGAGGGAAGAAGTGATGGTGCAGATAGAGCTTTGTGAGTCCTCAGAGCTGACTTCCTCCTGGACCACACGAGGCTTTTTTTGCATTCTGGAAAATTCAGTGGACACTTCCCTCCAGTTGCAAGGATGCTGGTCACCTGGGCAGCAGATAGACATTGCCCCACCTAGGGAGAAACAACCCATGGGTGCTGTGACAAAATCTCCCAAGTGTCCAGACAGCTGTTGGGGCCCAGAAGGACACTCCGTGAAGTCCCAGCAGGAGGGATTGTGCTTGGTGCCAGCTCTCCCAGATGGCCTGGAGGTTTGGAGGACACACATGCAGCCCCTGTAGAGTGTCAAGAATGAATGAGCGAATGAATGGATAAATGACTGACTGCACCCAGCTTTCCTTTCTCTCGGGGGTGGGGGGACTCTTGCTGTTCCACAGGAAAGGAAATAACAGACGCGGTTTGTGCGTGAGGATAATGACGCTTGCTCAGGTTGCCATAACTTGTACTTTTCCACTGATGCAGAAAAGGAGTCCCTGCCAAAGAATGTCCTTGGAGTGGGTCGATGTATTTTCCTTCTGTTATTTAAGTCAAATGTATTTAATGTAAGCAATTCAGCTGGAATGCGCGAGGCGTCCTTCGGTCCTGTGTGGACACCCACAGTGTGTGAACATGGCCAGTTTGAGCTCCATCAGGTGTGTGAGCTGACAGTGGTTTGGGTGGGGGGTGGTTGCTTTTAAAGTGCACGTTGGCAGCCCGGGGGCTGGGAAGGAGCTGTCGGGGGCTTCAGTGATCTCGATGGTTCATGTGTTCGTTCATCCGACAGGTAACGGAATGCTTCCCATGGACCTGGTGTTAGGCTCAGTGTGCTTTAAGGATATGAGTTCAGAAAGTTCCAGGGACTTACTGAGTTCCCCCAAATATATTGACAATTCAGTATAAATTAATCATGACAATTAAAATTTTAACTTTTTACATGCACATTGAGAGAACTGAGGTGTAATGGAGTATCTGTAGTTCAGGAAAGAGGGAGAGTGTTTGAAAAAGTGAACCTCGGAGATTTTGTTTCTAGGCCCGAATACTTTGTGTGTGTGTGTGTGCATACATGTGTGTGTGCGTGCATGTGTGTGTGTGTGTGTGTGTACACACACGGGCCCTTCTGAGCCCAGTCTGGTCCACTTACATGTGCTTGGTTTGGGTGGCATGTTGTGAACGCTCTAAGTTACATAAACACAGAGACTTGGGAACTTGCTGGCTCCTCTGCTCTCCAACAGCTCCTCACCCACTTCGGTCTCCCTCACCCTTCATTCCTCTCAAAGCAGGAAAAAGAGCAGAAATTCCTCAGGCAGTGTTGTTCTCAGGGTACAATCGCCATCCATCACTCCCCACTGGGAAAATGTAAACATGCACCAGCCGATAGCAGCATTATTTATTGTCATAAGCTTCGATATACATTGGGAGCAGGAGCGGCCCATGGCCAAGTATTATTCACCGGGTCCCCTGGGGAGGCTTGGCTCGGTGGGCAGAGCAGGGCTGGAAGGGATGTAAAGGGCTGGGACAGGAGTTCCCACAGCCGAGCACTCCCTGGGGCTTGGCCTCAAGTTTGCACGTAGTCAGCACCTCAGGGTGGCACGGGCTGTGTTTAGAGGGAAGAAGGCTGGCTCCACCTGGGTCCAGACACCAGTCCCTTTGGGGTGGAGTGGGGATTGGTTGGTGCCATTCATGTTGACTTGTTGCATGCAGGTGATGGACGGGGCATCACTTGACTCTAAGAGACCATTGCCTGCTTGTTCAGATGTCTATGTGGTTGTGACCGGTGCAGAGTGTGCAAAGCACTATGCACCACAGGGCTCTGGCTCAGGGAGCTCACACTAGGTCACAGTAATGGCTGGGGTTCAAGTCTGCAACCTGAAGTGTCAGCATGCAGATGATTTGTGAGATGGCGTGGGGAAAAGGCAGCCACAGTTTGGCCCTCTCTGCTCTGCGTGCTCTGCCAGCCTCCTTCTGAACCTGTGTGGTCCCTCTGTCATCCCACTTGGAGTCAGACAGGCAGAGAGGCCTGAGCTCAGCCCTTGGCTGGGAGCTTATTAACTCTCTCAGCTCAGTTTTCTCATCTGTACAATGGGATCATGAGTCCACCTCAAAGGTACTGTGGAAAAAAATACAGTAACAAACAAGGTGTTGGGCACAGCACATGGTCAGTTGCAGCCTTTAATGTTCCCTCCAGTGGCACATTTGGAGGAGGGGGAAGAAGGTATAGATGAGCAGACCCTGCTGCAGTAATGAGGGGTGTCAGGGAGGCGCAGGCAGGTGAACACAGGCTGACAATGTGGAAAAGTGGTGGAACTGGGCTGGGCAGATCCAGGCCCGCGGTGGACCTGCCTGGAGTGAGCCAACACATGAATGTTTGGTGAAGTCTCCTCTTCAGGTCAAAGTGAGCACGTGCATCCTGAGGTCCCATCTTAGGATCCAGGTTGCAGAGCAGGGGGAAAGAGGGGGAGAGGAGGATGTTTTAGTTTAAACCAGCAGTTCTGAGCTCGGACAGTGCTCAGAATCTGTGCCAGACACCTTGGGAGAGATGGACTTGAATACAGCTAGATCCCTGTGCTGAAGCCCTCATTTAAGGAGCAGGGGCTGAACTGGGCACAAGCACCTTCACTCTGAAGCTTTCTCTCTGGGGGAAGCCTGCAGGGCTCTGTGAAGCTTGGGGAAGGGGCAGGAGTCTAGCTGAAAGGCTTTCCTGGATGAATATGATTGAGGAACTGGACTAGCAGATTCTGTTGGTGGAAAACATTGACTTAACTTCTGATCTGTTCACAGTGGTGGCTCTCAGAGTCCTGCAAACAGTAGGTACACAGCAGACCCTGCTCCACATGAATGAATAAGCCTAATTCCAAGTGCCTTTCTAAACCAAGCACTGTTGGGGTCAAGGTGGCGTCCTTCAGACAGTGATGGCATAGGGTGGCAGAAGAGGGCCTGAGGTTATGTGCTCTCTTCCTAGCCACTTGCTCATCATTTGCTGTGGACTTCTTGTGATCAGAGATTAGCTCTGCCCGCTTTAATCAGAGACCAGCGTCTCCTAAAGGTGGCTATTCAGGGAGATGCTTGGGTGCAACCCTGCAGCATTATCTCCTGCCTTTTGTCCTCAAGCAACAAGCACCTGGCACCTCTGGAGGCACCAGGGATCATAGGAAGGTCTAGGTGACATGTCTGGAATGCTTCTGTGTTACAGATGTGGACGAGTGTGCAACAGATTCCCACCAGTGCAACCCGACGCAGATCTGCATCAACACGGAGGGAGGGTACACCTGCTCTTGCACGGATGGCTACTGGCTGCTGGAAGGCCAGTGCTTAGGTAATGGCTCACTGGGGCAGGTGGGGAAGCCGGGAGTTGCTGGCCACCAAGGATCCTGTGAGATGTGGCCTAGTGGGTGTGCTAAGGGGCATAATGGTTTCTTTGAGTGGGAGGCAGAAGGCTTTTGAGTTGATATCATCAGCCTCCTTTTATCCTGGTTCTGCTTTGTTTTGTTTGCGGTACTGGGAATTGAACCCAGGGCCTTACACATGCCAGACCGGTGCTCCACCACTGAGCCATCCCCAGCCCTCACTGCCCTTTGAAGTCAGTTGTCACCATCACCCTCACGTCATTATTATAGTTCTTTTCTGTGTTTTGTTTTGTTCAAAGCATGGTCCCTTCTCTCTTGCCCATGCTGGTCTTAAACTCCTGGGCTCCAGTGATCCTCTCACCTTAGCCTCTGAGTAGCTGGGACTACAGGTGTGAGCCACCAGGCCCAGCTTCTTATTGTAGATCTTGATACATGTTAAGGGCTCAAGTTGGATTTGACGAACCCCTGCTTCCTGCCTTCAGGAAGTTTGTGTCTAAATCAGGAAGTGATAGAAGTGAGTTATTCTGCCCTAGTTAGAAATAATACCCAGCCAAGGGAATACTTTTCCTGAGTTACCCAGATGCTCCAAGTCGCAGATGATCTGCAGATTCTGATGGGACATCACCTCCCCACACCCGTCACTGCCACCCCTGCCATGCCCACCCCACCCGCTGTGGTGTCTTTTTACTCTGAAGGAGTTACTCATCACCGATGGAGAATTTTGTCCCTCGCCCCATTGGCATCTGCTATGTGATCCTTCTGTTTATTTTTATTGGAGGGCTATTTTACTTTCCTCCCTGCTAGATCTGTACCGAGCCAAGTGAAGGAGTCCACAGCCATCTCTAGCTGTCACTTCCATTTCTTCTTCTAGGGTGTGATTTCTATGTTGCATTTTCCTGGAAAGGTCCCGCCAGTTTAAATTCTCTAAGACATCATTCTCTTGCCTGAAAGTCAGCCCTGGAGGGGCTGAGAAACACATCCAAACAACATCATGGAAGCAAACAGAAAAAAAAGGAAAGGGAAGTACTGCCTTCCAAGTCTCTCTTGATGGAGGCTGCGGTCGGGTCGGCTCTCACGACCTGTCTGACGCATTCAGGAGGCCTGATAAGCCAGCCGGGACCTGGCGTGGTTCTCTCTCCAGGCATGCACCAGAGAGCTGGTACACGTGGACATTCATCAATGTGACAGTCCCCATGCATCTGAACCAACCTCTGCGCCAGTGGAAAATTTGATGCTACTGATCTGAACATAAGTAGATCAGTGAGAGGGAGTTATTTGTACAGGAACTTAATATGTAGAATCTCGGAGCTGGAAGGGATGTGAGTTATTATGTCATCCAACTTTTATAGAGTTGGAGACAGACTCAAAGAGGAGGAACATTTTGGACAAAGTTAAAGTGAGTTGGGTTTAATATCTAAGTCTCCTGCTTCTCAGGCCCCCATTTTTGTTGTTGTTGTTGTTTTCACCACAAGGTGTGTTGGGACAACCCAACCTACCGGCCTGTAATAGAGACCTTAGGGCCAGACACTCCTCTGGTCTGAAAGATGGCGGCAACTGGCACATTCCCGTCCCTGGGAGAGGTGTTCTCTTCCACAGAGCGGAAGGTTGGGAGGGATACTCCCACCTGGCGCAGCCCACTCACTCTTGACATCCGATGTGAAGACTTTCCTGGCGGTTTTGCAGGGCTCATGCTTTCCCTTGGCCAAACTTCTCTTTCAAAATTCAAGTTCCACAGGTGCCTGCCACCCCTTTCTGTGCACCTTTGGCTTGGCTTCAGTAGGGTCTCTGTTACCTCCCTGAGCCTTGGTGATAGGCCCAACTGCCCTGGGAAGAGGTGAGGATCTGCAGCCATACAAACCCAGGGGCTTTCCAAGTAAGAGCTGCAGGGTGCTCGGGGTGCAGTGGGGGGGCCAGGTGAGAAGTGGCTGGGACTCAGAGATAAAGCAAAACCACAAGCAGAGTGCAAGCTCTGATGAAGGCTGAAAAATTGGTAAGCATTGAGATGAGCTGGTAGTAGGTGATAGGAACTGGGCACAGGGTCTGAGGTTCTGAGCAGACTTCCAGAGCCCGGGGTGGACATTGATTTCAAAGGAATTGGGGTAGCTTAGAGGGAATATGTTTAGTTTAGGGGGACGTGGGGATGACAAAAGGACCAGTCACCACTACAGTCAGATCAGTTGGTCCCAGACGGAGTCTGTTTAGGTGAGGACATGCCTCCTCCTGAAGGTTGGTGATTCCATCCAAGACACCCTGTCCTACGGCCATTGTCCCATCAACCTGGGATATTGCAAAGTGCTTTCCCAGTGACACCAGGCTCCTCGTGGGTTGGTGCATGTTACAGTGGTCACAGTGCCCAGCTCTGCTGAAAGGATTAATTTACCTCAGTGCTGCTGATCTCCCTGGGAAGGTCAGCCATAGCTTGGAAGAGGTGTGTTTGTTCAGTTGTTCAGGAGGAGACTGCAGAGTGCACTCCAGCATCTTGGTGTTACTGGATTCGTAAGGTCTCGCTCTAGGAGTACCCAGCTTGTTCTGGTCTGCACTGGCTCCTCCTGCTCCTGAGGGCGGACATGGTGACTGTTAATGGAGCTGTCTATTGGAGCAATGCTGTGGATTCTTCTTACATGTTAGGCTAACTTGTCCCGACAGTAGAACAGTGATATGGAATCGTAGAGTTGAATCTGAATGTTGTATAAATCTTAGTTTAAGATTTGGATAAACCCCAACAGTATTCTTGCTCAGCATCCCACTCAGAGCAGAAATTTTCTTCTGCCACTTTCAGGGTAGGTTCAGGTATTCGTGGGACTGATGATTGGGGAGATGGGACATGGTAGGAAGATGGAGACTTGTAATCCAGTTGGGACTGTCTTAGCCTCAGGTCCCCTTACTTCCTTTCCCTCTCCAGGAGAGCTGGCAATGCGCCGTGCTGGGGATGGCCTCTGTGAGAAGAACCTGTCTTACCTCCTTGTGTTTCTGTTTCTAGACATTGATGAATGTCGCTATGGTTACTGCCAGCAGCTCTGTGCAAATGTTCCTGGATCCTATTCCTGTACATGCAACCCTGGTTTTACCCTCAATGAGGATGGAAGGTCTTGCCAAGGTATGTGACGTGCATGACAACTTGGACACAGCATGAAACACTAGAAGCAGTCTTCTTCAGAGCCTGACAGTTGGTGTCTGCGAAACACTGTTGTTAAAGTGTATTCCCATTCCTTGTCACCCACCCCCTCCCTGCTGCTTACAGAAACCCGAGACCTGAACAGAGATTATGTGAAAAGGTTCACAAAGCTCTGAATATTATGGAGGGAAAAACCATAGTCATCCAGCAACTAGGAGCTCCTGTGGTCATGGATTTGCTTCTCTTTCTGAGTCTGATAGCCAAAAGTGGCCTTGCTGGCTTTCTCACCTAATCTGAAAATTTCTCACATGTCCTAGAGCCTATGTTCAATTCCTGAGACCCAAAGAGGGGTGTTCAGGGACCTGACCTCCCATGAATCACAAAATAGAGCCACATGCATGCTGCAGGGCCTCCACAGGCATTGTCTAGGCCTCTCCCTGAGTCTTAGGAGGGCCTGTTACTTTGCAAAGAGTCTCAGGGCAGGACGAGTGTGTGTGTGTGTGTGTGTGTGTGTGTGTGTGTGTGCTCTCTCTACTCCTCGGCATTCCCCAAATCAGAATGAAACAAAGGCACTTTCTGGTTCTCACACGATCAGTTCAAATACTGATAAGTAAGAAAAGCAAACTTTGCGTCTATTGTGGTTTCCACTGGGAAGGCCTCCTCCACTCAGGAAGCAAATGGAGGACTTGAGACTCAAGGAATTAGTGCAAGTTCTACCCTGGCCCCCAGCTGCCTGCCCCAGCCCCCAACCAGGCCTCCAGGCCCTGGCAGCAGCGTGGTCCAGGGCGGAGGCAGACCCAGAGATGCAGAATGAGGTCTTTGTCTGGAACTGGCCACCAGGCTTCCCAGGGCCATTTCCTTGTCACACCATTCCAGGGAGCGCTGGCTGGCAGGCTCTTGGCCAGCTCGTGGAGGATATTATGTCTCCATTACTTTAATCATATCTAAATCACTGGGTAAACAGGAAGGCATAAGAGTTCAAGGGTTTGGACTTGGGCGCTTTGTAGAGCTCTCCTCCAAAGCTGGTTCTGCTCATTGTTCCCCAGTCTCCACTGCATTCCTCTCAAGGGAGGGGTCACTGTCCTCTGACAGCAGAAGTGGCTGAGGTTGGGAAGTTGGTGGAGCAGGGGCCCTTCCTGCTCCCCAGAGCCCAGAGAGGATGCCTGGCACCCTTGCTGCTACAGTAAGCGGCTTAGGGCAGATTCTGGCTTCTTGGCGCCAAGGCTGGGCCTGGAGGTGCCAGTCCAGGCTTTTGCTCAGAGGCTGCCGTGATGCACCAAGTCCAGGACCTCCTGAGGAGCAGCCGAGCAGAGGAGAGTCCAAAGTCACATGGCTTCTTCAGCCCTCTCAGAGACAGGTCTGTGACAAAGAGCAGTGAACGCCCCTGGCCGAGCCAAATCCAGCATGGTGATAGAGCAGCGGGCACAGCTCTCAGGCCTGGACACAGGCACCGGGCCAGGGTGTTACATCAGCGGGGCCTTGGGCAGCACGGGATGTGAGGGACACTGCTGAGCTCTGGCAGTCCCAGCACCTCGTGCGTTCATGAGCACTTTGTCCCCCTCAAAGCATTCGTCTCACTGAGCCCCAACAGTAGCATGACTGAGGTCGCAGGAAGGTGTAGGTGACTCTGCTTCACAGATGAGGAAGTCAAGGCTCTGAAAAATGAAGGCACTTGGCCAAAGTCAGGCAGCCAGGTGGTGGCAGAGTTGAGAGCAAAACCCAGGGCCCAGCCTTGCTGTCCAGCAGGACGGAGTGGGGTGCCCTCTGCTCTCATGGGATTCAGAAGGGCAACTGGAAAGGCTGTCAGGGAACAGCAGTTAGGGCCCCGGGGGTGGAATCCTTTTGGTCTTGCTCAGAAGCAGCTGCTGGCCATAGGTGGAGGATTGAGCTCATTCATCTCCATGTGGCCAGCGTCTGGCCAGTAGCTGAGGACGCCAGCCCTAATACACACCAGCACTGGCCTGTCTGACTTGCACCCAGTGGCTTAGCAGCATGGACATTTTCCTGCCTGGTCCTGCCCCACCCTGGGTGAAGAAGAAACTCCAGCCCCCCAAGGGGACCAGGGGAGACAGGTATCTCCTGGACCCTCCTACACGGCTGCTTATTTATTTATTTTTCCTTTGAGCAAAGCCCCTCAAACTTCACCACAAAGCCCTTACCTCCAAAAACACTTGAGTCTCTCTTCAGAGTTTTTAAGAGGTTTAACTGGACTTTTGAAGTGGCTTGGACATCTCTCGGCTGGAAACTCGGCCAGTGGCAGATGCAACATGGGAGATGGGGTGCTGCAGTCCTCCAGCCAGCACCAGGGCAGGAAGGGACCCCTCCCTCCACCTCCACTACCCAGAGGGGCCATATAGGATGAATCTCTTATGCTGTGGGAAGACCCCTGACTCATATTCCAGTTCCAACTGGGCCCATGTTAGTATGTGGACTGGGGCACATTTCTCAATCTTCAAAAAGATTTGAAACAACTTTATTGGTGTGTAATTGATATATAATTAACTGCACTATGGAGAGTGACTTCATTAATTTTGACATGAAACCATCACCAAACCCAAGATGATGAATCCCCCATCAGTCCGGGTGCCCTTTACTTAACCTGCTTAACCTGTAAAAAGGGGCAGTGGTCCTGAAGCAGAGTCGTAAGGACTGAGTGTGAGTCTCATCTAATCAGTGATTATTTATGCATAATAAATACATTAGAACCATCATGATTTTTGTTCACCTGAAGCTTCAGCACCAACGAAGGTGAGATATGAGCTCATTGGTGATGGAATGTGGCAGGCGGGGGAAAGAGCACGCGTTGCTTGCAAATTCTGCAGGTGAGCCTTGGAGAGGGGGCCAACTGGCAGGTACGAGTACGCATATATAACACGTGTACTCATTTCCCCCGTTCCTGCCATGTGACTCTAGAAGGGACATGTGGCTCGAGTCCCTAGTCCTTGAGTGAACCCTCTGGAGTCTGCAGGTGTGATCTAATGGGTCCCTGATAGAGATCCTTGGTGCCAGTGGATCTGGTGCCCTGGCAGTAGGAGATTTTGTTGCTGGTGCATTTTTCCCGTTTGGTTGGTGTGTGTGTTCTATTGTGCAAATGGTCAGTGATGTCCTTTGGCTTTCTGCAGACGTGAACGAGTGTGCAACTGAGAACCCCTGTGTGCAAACCTGCGTCAACACCTATGGCTCTTTCATCTGCCGCTGTGACCCAGGATACGAGCTTGAGGAAGATGGTGTTCACTGCAGCGGTAACGGGCCCAGCATTGAGACTTCTACTGTTCTGGGGGCCAGTGGGGAGGGTGGAGGGGAAGGGCTTCCTTCACAGTTGTTTCCTCTCATTTCCTGGACACATGTCCAGTCAGGGACATTTCCACAGCCACACAAAACAGAGATGAGTCACTTCCTAAGAGGTGGGGGGAGAGCCTCACCTTCTTTGTCATCTGACTCCTAACACAGCTGCCATCTGGTCATGAGGGGGTTTGATGAGAGAGAGGAGCCCTGCCATCTGCCTGTTGGTCTGAGGGTCAACTGAGCTCACTCGGTATTGACCTAAGTCCTGGGGCCAGCACAGAGAGTATTTACAGAGGATGGTGACCCAGGAATGGAGGGGACATTGAATACATAAGATCATATATGTAAGTGTACCTGCTTTGTGAACTTCTGGAGGCTCTACATGTAATCAGTGTCCAGCTCTGGGCGTAGCACATAATGATCATGTGATAATTAGTTCTTGAACCCTGAACGAAAGCTTGAGTGTTGAATGAACGAAACCTAAGCAATCTGTGGTGAGAATGTAGGTGTGGTAGCTTAGTTGATCTTTTATGAATTCCTTCCAAGCCTGAGGAGCTATGCTTCTTTGGTCATCCTAATTTGTTGACTCTATTATAATTTTCTTATTAGCCTCCCCTTTTTCTCCCAGAAAGTTAAATTTTAATGTCCCAGATAGTTAGAAAACTATTACTAGATTAACCCCTTGAAAATAGGGACTATATCTTACTAGTATTTACTCTTTAGCATCTCACACAGAACCATGCACAGCTTCTGTCTGTCTGTCTCTCTGTCTCTCTCATGGTCTCTCTGTCCTGCCTTCTTTTTACATGTTGAATTAAAGTAAACTCTATTTCATCCCCTTTCGGCATCATCAACAGTTGTGAATTAACAAAAGTCCAACTTAATAAGGCTTCACTGTACTTTTCAGAATAAGTGGGCCATACACTGGGGCGTGAAAATCCTTTTGTCCTGTGGTTCCTGATCCTGGGTTTTGCTGTAACAGGAACTGACCCGGGCTGTGAATGAGGCTTGTTTGATAGCTTCAGTTAGGGCTGGAGTGTCCTAGGGACAGAGCCTCCAGAAACAAATGAGCACCTCTCTCCAGGGCCAGGAAAATCAGAGCCACACTCAAGCAGTTACAGAGAGCTTTAAACTGATGAAATATCAGCCCCAGAAACAGAAATAAAATACTCTCAGCCATGAAAGGCCACTCTCTTCCTAGATTTCAATCCCCCCTGGCACTTTTTGGGAAATCCAAGCCAAGGAACTAAGAGGTGTGGAAAATTTAGCAGTACGAGATGGGATTATTTGTTTCTCCAGAATTCCTCGCAAATCCACAGATATTTTGTGACCATCTGCAGAGGCAGTGTGGTAGAGTGAGTCTGGAGCCAGATGGAGCTGAGTCCAAGTTCTGCCTCTGTTGTTTACTACTCTCCTTAGCCGAGGCACTTCCTGAGCCTCAGTTTCCACCTTTGTTAAAAAAAAAAAATCCACCAAGCACTCAACAGAGTAGTCATAGGTTTAGGAAAATTGGTGCACTGAAGTGTCTTTACCTGTTAATTAATCTTCCCTAAGTAAATGTCAGAGACTTGTGACTCCTCAAGGAGTTCAAATCCTTGCTGGTTTGGCAAGAATTTTCAGTTGACTCACTTTACCCAAAACGGCCAATCCCTCTTCCACATTCACGACGATGGACGCCTTCTTTCCCATAAGCATTAGTGTAATTCCTGGCTGTTGCGAATTTCTGCTTTTATGTGCATCTCCGTGTTCCTGGTCTCTGTTACCCTCGCTGTGCTGGCATAGTTGCTGTGGCCTCTCCACGCAGCACCAGCCCCTTCCTATTCTTGTCCCTTTGTCCCCCTGCCCCCGAGATTTTCTAAGTCATGCGAATCCTGGAAACCACGGTGGGGTTTCATGTGGAGGAGTGAAAATGGCCTAATGTGTGCTCCCTGCCAGAAACTCGGCTGTATTTCATCTTGTCAGTGGAGGGTGGAGCCACAGCTCCTCTTGAGGTCTGGGAATTGCAAACAGAGATAACTGAGTGGAATTGGTCACAGCCCCTCCCCACCCAACGGGAAGCAAGGGTGGGTGTTACCCTCCCTATCTGCACAAAGCGGAGCTCACCCGGCTTGGGGAATTACCCCAACCTCAGGGCTCCCCAGATTCACTATCTGGAAGTCCTGAACACAACTGCTCAGTAGGACATGACAACATCGTGTTTACCAGTTTAGGATCTGGAAGCTGGCTGTGTTGGAATTCCAGCCTTCCTATTCACTTATTATCTGTGAGCTTGGTCAAGTTACCCAACCTCTGCAAGCCTCATTTTTTTTTCCTTCTGAAAAACACAGGCAGTAATAATACCTCCTTTACAAGGTCAAGGTGGGGACTTAAAGGCTTGGGAGATTAAGGACAGTGAATCTCAGGAATTGACAGGGTTCACTACTACAGCTGCTAGAGGTTTGAATGGGACTTTCGAACCTCACAGAAGTGCATTAGGATGCTCTGGGATAATGGGCTGGGAACAGATCCGGGGCTGCCTTTGTAGGGCTCCTGGGGGTGGGGGCTGGTGGAAGCAGATGTTACCAGAGCTTGGAACCCACTTTAAGTTTTCAAGTCAGCATCCCAGAGCTACTGGCTCAATACCCTTCACAGAAGACCTCTGAGAGAGATGGGAGAGAGCTTTCTTCTCAGATGTGAGAGGCGGTAGGCAGAATTCTCCAACGGTGGAGCAGAGGGGTGGCCTCATTTGTGCCAACACCCCATCATCTGGGTGATCCAGAGCCACCAGTGATCTGTGAGTTAGAGAGTAATCCGAGGACATGTCACATGGGGAAACTAGTGAAAGCAAGTTTTCGGGAAACAACAAATGCAAGAAAAACATGTTTTCTTTGGCGTGCTTGTTGAATGAGGCGCAAATGGGCGTCCAGCTGCCAAACTCTGTGTGTGATGAAGAGTTGGCTTCTCTGGAGGGCCTGCTTCTGCATGGGCTGTCGGACCAGTGGTGATGTCACGAGGGCAGCGTCCCTCCCCAAATCCCTCCTCTGCAGCCCAGGGTAGCCCAGTCCAGGCTGGTCCCAGGCTGGCTGGAGACTGCTGTGTCCCTGTTCCAGGGAGCATCTGAGGCAGACAACCACAGAGTGGTTGCCCACCTTAAGCCCCCCTAGGGTTTTCTCTTTCAAGGAAGTTTTTTTTTGTCTGTTGTTATTTGTTTTGAGATTGGGTCTTGCTATGCTGCCCAGGATGACCTTGCACTTCTGGGCCTAAGGGCTCCCCAGTACCTAGGACTATAAGTGCCCATTCCTGAACCCAGCTTGATACAGTGAGGTTTTAATGTCACTCTCACCCCCTGGTTTTCTAGCCATGTCCCTCTTAATTGTGATTTTAGCAACAATATTGTTCCTCCACTTGGAGGGGGAGAGGGGAACTGGCACTGCTAAAATTTCCTCTCTAGTCTCATGAATGTTTTTGAGGTCTTGGGGAAACCCCAGCAGGCAAGCAAATTGTAGCCCCTTGAGCAGGTTAGAAATGAAGGTTCCTATGGATACACCTGCAGGGCAAAAGTGACTCAGAAAATAGTGGATGGTGCAGCTGAGCCAGACCAGAACCTGTTGGAAACTTGATGGAGATAGATTCCAACTCTGTGTCGAAAGGGATTTCCTAGCAATTGGAGCTGTCCAGTATCAATGGGCCTCCTCGGTAGGTAGTGAGCTCCCCAGCACCAGAAGTGTTCAAGAAGTGAACTGACCACTCCATAGCAGTAAAGCCATTGTGTCCACGGGTAGAGTGGGTGAGTTGGAGTAGGTGACCATAAGCTCCCATCCCTAGTCTGCCATAATAAACAGCAGGTGTAACTTGTCACCCCCAGATATGGACGAGTGCAGCTTTTCTGAGTTCCTCTGCCAGCATGAGTGTGTGAACCAGCCTGGCACATACTTCTGCTCCTGCCCTCCAGGCTACATCCTGCTGGATGACAACCGAAGCTGCCAGGGTAAGACTATCCAGGGGGCCTGGCTGGGGCTGACTCCGGGGGTCATCTGGACACCTTCACCCGGGATTCCTCTGTGGCTTCAGGAAGGTGGCGGGAGTGAGGGTGTGAGTGGGTGTTGGTGGATCCCGGGGTGGAACTCTGGGTGGGATCCTGGCCTGGTGCCTCCTCCTCTCCCTGCCCTGTGACACATCCTTTGGCTAGGATGCGGGCCCCACTCACGCTTCTGTAATGAATTCTGCAGATCTAGATTGCAACCTCTACGGCCTGGTTTCTGCCTTGCCCTGTAGCTCTCTCTGCAGCCCTTCTAAAGAATGCTCCAGACCCAACCGGGACTTCTCATGACCTGCCCCTGCCCAGGGACCAGGGCTCAGGCTTTCTCATGTGGTCTGGAGGGTGGCTTGCTCAACTTCCTCTACTGACTTCCTAGAGAATGGATCCTCAGATGCCTGATGCCCCTGACTTCTAGGACCCTCGAAGGGTCCGGATCCCAAGCCACTGAAGGGCTGGGTCTTCTCCACACGGGCAGCGTGGCTTATTTCCAGTCCTATACTACCTATGGGCGGGGGGGTCCATGCAGGAGCAACTGGCCCATTATTAACTTCCTTGAGCCTCCTTTGCCCAGTACTAAGCCAGAACTCCCCATAGGGATGTTGGGAAATTAAAATATCATGTGAGCTACAAAGGTGAGTCAACTGTGAAACTACATTTTCTAGTAGCCACATTAAAGGCATCAGAAGAAACACATAAAATTATTTTATTACGCTATTTTGTGTAGTGGATTCAGAACCTAATCATTTTGACATGGATTCAGTATGAAAATTACTGATGTTTTGTGTCCTTTCTTATACTCAATCATAGAAATCTGGCGTGTGTATCTTGCAGCACTTGTCAGTTTGGGCTAGCCACACGTCAAGTGCCCAGTGTGTAGCCACATGGGCTAAGGCTGCCATATTGGGTAGTGGAACTCCACAGTAAGGCCAGGTGGCCCTGCCTCTCCCCTGTGACCCGGGGCCAACATCTAGTAGTGCTGCCCTGCTTTAGCTTCTCATCTCCCTGCATTCCAGACATCAACGAATGTGAGCACCGAAACCACACGTGCACCCTGCTGCAGACTTGCTACAATTTACAAGGGGGCTTCAAATGCATCGACCCCATCCGCTGTGAGGAAAATTATCTGCAGATCAGTGATAAGTAAGTCACAGCATCCCCTGAGGAAGTGGAAAACTGGTCCAGGAGGATCTGGTCCAGGAGGGTCTGGTCTAGGGGGTTGGCACTGTCCTGTGAGGAAGACTACACTGTCCAGGGCATCCCAAGACCTGGGCCACTGCCTGCCCTATGCACTTGTGTGTTCGTGTGTCTGCACATGTGTGTGCACACACAACACTGTTCTTTACCAGTCCCCGACTCGTGCCAGAGCTATGTGAAGATTCCCTAGAAAGCTAACAGACAGGCGCGGTTCATGACTTCCTTTTCCCTTTCATGACTGTTCTGGAAACACAGGACTCTCAGGGCTTCTCACATGCAGCTTGAAGAAGCCTTCCCTGGGGATCTTGTCAGGTGCAGGTTCAGATGCGGTGGGTTTGGGGTGGGGCCCATGATTCTGCCTTTCAGAGAAGTTTCCAGGAAAAACAAAGGCTTCCTGCTCCTGGGACTTGCTCTATGAGTAGTGAGGTGCAGGAAAGTTTTCTGGAGAGTTCTTTGCTTGTCTACTTAAGTTTCTGATGTCATGATGGTCAGCACATTACTAAGTCACCAGATGGTAAACATTAGTGTCGAGGGGACAACTAAAGAAAGATAGCTTCAACAAGATGAACACACCCGACCGGGTGTCCCTGCCCGGATATCCTGTGAATTCCATTTCCTTTTCTTTTAGGAGGGATCCTCAGCCTATGCCCCCCGCCACACACACACACACACACACACACACACACATGTACTTATACATCTTTTGCTCTTTGCTCTTCCCATTAGCTACAGTTTCTACCCCTGAGCAACTCCAATCCCTTACCCTGGAGATCAAGGGTTGGATTAGTCACACCATCCTACCCTCTGTCTCCAGAAATGTGGCATCTAGGACAGGAAGTCGCGGCTTACATGGGCGCTTCCCCTGGAATAAAAAGTGGGCAGAGGAGAGGACAAAGCCAGCACAGGCAGGTCCTTTAGAGGTGTCTTTGCTTGTTCCCTAGAGCCCTGCTTCTAAGTAACCCTCTAGAACAGAGCTTTCCGACTGCTGGGTCAAGAGCCCTTGGTAGTTGATCAGAGTTTCCGACAGCTCTTGCCCACTTCTTTTCCTGGTTTCGCTGGTTTGACTGTGGCCAGGGACAGGTACAGGCAGCACAAGCTGGTGTTGTCCGTGAAGTTTCAGCCACGATGCTGAAAACACTGGATGACTACCTCCCTTCGCCCAGCCTGCCAGCTTCTTTCCTGCCCAGGTGTCCTGTGCCAGGTACACTAGGACCTGTGCTCACCGTGTAGCCCACACCCAGCACGTCCAGCCTCGCTGCCTGGGTGCCCACAGGCCCCGCCATGTGGAAGGCATCCCTCCTGTCTCCGCGTGGCCAGATCCACACCTTCAGATGGCTGCTCAGAGGCCCCTCTCCCAGCTGTTTGTGATCCTCCTCAGCTGGGAGCCATCATTCCCTCCTCCAAATCTCTTGTAGGAAACAATTCTTTTCTACATGACACGGGACATTTTAATGTGGCCCTTTTGGCACCGGGGACATTTTGATTTGGCAATTTTGATGCAGCTTTTAAAAAAATGATACTTTAAAAACTCTTTGTACCTACTTGCTCGTTAACCCTTGGTGGGCTCTTCTCGTGTGCTAGGTGCTGTGGGTTTTGGGAGCTTGGAGTCCGAGGAGAGAGATGTTAAATGAATTGTCACATAAGTAGGTTTGGGTGGGTTTTGGCAACAACAACAACAACCAAAAGGAAACTTGCAGAAAGAAAGTAGGTTGGATCTGGTCCAGACCTGGGAATCCACAGGCCCTGTGAGGAAATGTCCTCTGGGCCGAGCCGGGAGGGTGAGTCCACATTAGCTAAACAGAGTGGAAGAGCAGAGGGAACAGCATGTGCTAGGGCTGCAGGGCAAGAGCCACCTCTGTGCCTACTGGGATGGGAAAGGTCCAAGGTCCAGTGAGTCCAGTAGACAGTGGCCCTAGAGGAGATCAGAAAAATGGCAGAAGCTGGACCCTATGGGATCATAGAGGCTAAATGGGAGTTTAGTGGCAATGGGTGGCCACAGAGAAAGACCTAATCTGATTTATGATTGACAAAGGCCATCACAGAGGCACAGGTGAGTCAAGTAGAGCACTTGCCTAGCACATGTGAGGCACTGGGTTCATTCCTCAGCACCGCATTAAAAATAAATTAAATAAAGGTATTGTGTCCATTAACAACTAAAAAATTTAAAAAAACGAATGAGGTGAGAGATGGAAGAGGGGAGCTAGGGGATTAATCAAGGGGTGTCTATGCACCTTTGTTAATAAAAGTCACTAATTTTATATTAGGACATATTACTACTAGTGTTTTAAATTAGTCCCTTTGTATTCGAGATATTTATGTTTATGATTTGTTTCTTTTATTAGAAGGTAAACTACCTGAGGTCAAAGTCTTATTTATCGTTGGATTTCCAATGTCTAATATCATGTACTGAAAATAGTTAAGTTCTGAGGTCTTGTTTATTGAGTGACAAGATCCAATCGTATTCCACATGGACTGGTCCTAGTGCAGTGGAATGCGAAAGGACCCTTGAGACCTGTCAATCCAACGTCATCTGCAGCTTTAAAATGTATTAATGAGCATCTTGGCTGGGAAGTAAAGGACTCCGTGACCATCAGATGGTTCTGAGAACCAGAGAGCTAATTTATGTCCCATAATAGTCAAACTATCCGATGGCCAGAGCTGCTATTCTCAAGGAACCAGAGCACAGCTACATGCTGGAGCAGCCTTAGACTAGGGCCAGGGGTAGAGACATTATCCAGTGACGCCATTTAGTGGTGAAAACACGGTGGCTCCATTTTCAGTGTCCTCAGTAGATACAGCCAGCACCTGGAAAGGATTCATCCAGTTCTCACACGTTTCTCTTCCCTGCAGCCGCTGTATGTGTCCTGCTGAGAATCCTGGCTGCAGAGACCAGCCCTTTACCATCTTGTTCCGAGACATGGATGTGGTGTCAGGACGCTCCGTTCCTGCTGACATCTTCCAGATGCAAGCAACGACCCGCTACCCTGGGGCCTATTACATTTTCCAGATCAAGTCTGGGAATGAAGGTCGAGAGTTCTATATGCGGGTAAGAGGGAGTGGTGAGCGGCAGTCGCCATCTTTAGCAATGGCCTTGTGTTGTCTAGCCTAGCGGTGTATTTCGTGGGAACAGGTAAGAGTGCGGCTAGAAGGGACAGTGTGAAGAGGGTAGTGGAACTCAGGAGTACAAGCTCCTGTTTCTACTACTTTCTACCTGGCCTTGAGAAAGATGAACTCTTCCATGAGCCCTACAGTTCTTGTCCGTGAACCAAGAAGTTGACCAAGATGCAATCTTAGTCTCTTTTCTCCTAAAATTCTGCAAGAGAGACATTCATACCTCCATTTCTCCACCCACCCATTTGACAAATATTTCTTAAGTACCTTCTATGTACTTCTAGAGACTGAGGACATCAGTCTAAAATTTATTTTTTTTATAAATTGCATCTGTGCAACACCATACCATTTATATTGTTGAGCTTTGTCTCCCATAACCCCTGCAATGATTGTGCTTCTTTAGAGACCATTAGTTAAATGTTTGCATTTTTTCGGGGTGAATTTGGGTACTTGTCCAAAATGCAGATTCTAGAGCTTCCCCTCCAAAGGACCTGTTTCAGAAGATAGTAAGAGATACCCCAGGTATTTGTTTCCAGTGGCTGCTGTAACAAATTGCCACAACCTGGTGTTTTAAGACAATGGAAATTTATGGTCTCATAGTTTTGGAAGCCAATGTCTGAAATCCATTTTACTGAGCTGAAATCGAGGAGTTGGCAGGACTGTGCTCCCTCTGGAAGCACCAGAGGAGAACTCATGCCTTCCTCTTCTGCACTTAGCAAATCTCTATCTGCTGCCCTCTTATAGGAACACTTATGATTGGATTTAGGGCCCATCCAGATAATCCAGGATAATCTCCCTGTGTTCTGATCCTTAATAACATCTGCAAAGTCTCTTTTTCCTTGTAAGAAAACATTTATCATTTCCAAGAATCAAGACCTGACTATCTGGAGGCCATGATTCAGCCCACCACACCCAGGAGTATTTCCAGCAGATTCTAACTATATATTGTCCTCCAGGGTCACTGGGGAGAGTTCCACACAAAAGGCCCTTGGAAGTCCACCCATTTGCACCAGAGACCAACCCAGGGGCCTATAAAAGAATCACATCTCTGCCCTCGAAGCCTCCTCTCCCCACCCCTGGCAGTATCTTTCCATCTTTACTTCTGGAAGTTCAGCGGGAGTGGAAAGAACAGATTAGAAAAGGCCTCAAGGATGGAGGATCCTCACAAACGTACCTTTAGTAAGACCTAGACTGAGCCAGGTCTTGTGTGAGTAGGTGACCCATGGAGCTGGGATAGACCTGGCTCTGTAGACCAAAATAGCAGTCAGGGGCTCTCAAGAAGTTGGAATGGGTGAGGGTAAGGAGCTTCCAGAAGATGAAGAAGGTGGCACTGAGTGTATGTCTGCCCTTTCCCCAAGCCCATAAGCACTTGTGGAAACACCGTGGAGCCTCTGGACTGGCCGCTGTCTTGGGGTGAGCCCAGCCTTTCCCATCAGCCTCTTTCATCTGGACAGACACAGCAGGTCCCAATCATAGGATGAAAAGATGCCCCCATTAGAGATTTAAAATACCCTCACTGGTACCTCCTGCGTAAGGTTGCCCCAACCCTGAGCAGGGCAGGAGATGTGCAGAGGAGGCCTTGTCTAGGCAAGATGGCACTCACCCAGACGCCATCCACTAGAATCCCCCTGGACCCAAACAGTCCCTGCGGTGACTGACTTGAGATGGGTGCTGGTGATGAGGGAAAGAGACTGTCCTATAGCTGAGGTGGACAGAGGGAAGTCCCCTTCCTGGAAACTTCCTCCAGTGTCCAGAGTGTCACAGCAGCAGGGGAACCCTGGAAGCTCAGAGCTTGGATCTGGGCATGGCTTGTGCGCTCTGTGAGAATGCTGAGAAGGGCCCTTTCGCTTTAGTATTTTTTATTCAGGAGACATGTGAGGTCGGGCTGGTGATATAGCTCAGTTGGTAGAGTGCTTGCCTTGCATGCACAAAGCCCTGGGTTCAATCCCCAGCACCACAAAAAAAAAGAAGAAGAAGAAGAAGACATGTGAGGAGACAAGGAGGGGACAAAGGGACATGGGCCTGTCACATCCTATGGATGGGAGAGGTGGCTCCTGGCCTGAAAGTTCCCAAGAAGAGAAAAGAGGCATAGTGTGGGGCCCTGGGAAGTCATGGGGCATGGGAGCAGGAAGAGAGAAATTGGCCAGGTAAGGCTGGCCTTCCAAGGGTCCAGGCTGTCCCGAGCTGCAGGACCCTCCCAGGAGGCCACTCAAGCATTTACTGTGGACTCCGAGGCCAGGCTGACCCACTGTGCTCTGTGTTCTCCCATTTACCCCAACCATGGTTACCTAACCTGTCTGGGTCTCCATTTCCTCATCTGGAGAGAGGAGATCGTAACGATATTTACCTTAGGATTAGATGAGGTCACCCACTTTGTGCAGTGCCTGGAACGCAGGATGACTTTCATCACATAAGTGGCAGGGGTAAAAAGGCCAGAACTTCCTCCTCCTCCTCCTCCCCGCTGCCTCAAGCCTGAGCACGCCTGGGTGAGTCCCAGCTCGCTCCTCCAGGATTCACAGACTCAGTCACCGCAGGATTGTCCCTTCTCTCTTGTCAAAGGTCACAGCTGGTTTAGGTGGAAATTCCGGCCTCCCACCTCCTGTCTGGTGTACAGTTTCTCCCTGCCACTGGCTCAGAGCAGGGGCAAGTGTGGTTGGTCTCTGTACAGTCTTCCTCTTTTCCTCCCAGCAAGGACATCGTGGATTCTGGTTCCTCCAGGGTTAGGGGGCAGGCTGCTGGGAGAAGAGGCAAGGTCAGGAGGGCCAGGGTCTTCTTGATTATTGTCATTGCATCCAGACACCCAAATGCTCTTGCTTTCACAGGATGGATGGCCTTGTGAGTTTTTTGGAGGTTTGCCTAAGGATGTCACAGTGACCAGTTCATGAAGTGGGCACCAGGGCCTCTGGTTGACCACTTGCCACCCCAAGCCTCTCAGCTCCCTTCTCTGGCACTGTGTCCCACACAGATTTTCCTTGGTAGAGGTGATGGAGTGTCAGTGTACCCTGGTGGGCAACATTTATCATTCATGGCCTTTATGTTTCTCTCTAGAATGTGGTATGTTTTAATCTGCTCTTCTAGCTTTGAGCTCTCAGCAGATTGAGATAACAAGAAAAAGTCTATAGCAACAATAGAAAACAACCAACAAATATTAGATACTATTGTGTAGATGCTGTGGTTACCAGCACTACTACTGTTGCGCCTGTCGTTAGGAGGTTGGGAGCTCCTAGGCTCTGGACAGATTGGGCATGCTACCCAGGGTACGGGGGGTTGGTTGGGATGGTTGGCCATTCAGGCCCTGTTACCCTGAGATTCATTCTAAGTGCTCAAGAGGAACATCAAGTCACCCAGCAGGCAAACCACAAAGCCCCCCACCTGCTTGTACACACACATCCACTTGCACACACGTGTGCACACAAGTATACACATGCACATGCATATCCCGCACACCCTTTTCAGAAGCCCTGTTGGCACTCTGTCTCACACTGAGCTCTGGGCAGAGGATTGATAATTGGCTTTCACCAGGTGACTTGGGGACATGATTAGGGCCAGGAGAAGGAGCATAATCATGGGATTCAGACTGCGCCAAGAGTGTTTACATCATGACACACCTGGATCAGGTGGCAGGGCCAAAGGAAGCTGACTTGCTGCCCAACTGCCTGCCACGTGTTGGACAACGCCATTCTGCAAGTTGATTCTGAGCACACCTGACTGTGTGCAGGGCAGCCTGGAAGACAGGTGTCAGGTGGGCTGTCCGCAGCTTACCCCCATCCCAGACACCTCCACCAGTGTCCGCTTGTTCACATGCATATGTCTATCACTGTCATTTATTTGGCACCACTATGCAGAATTTAGTTAGAAACAAACAGAATGTGGGGCACACACAATGCAAAGGGGTGATTCGCAAATCAAGTAAGTGCCATGGGCTGCTGAGGAAGAGCAGGGGCACTGAGACCTTATCGTAGAGCTTAGCCATCAGGAGCCTGGCTTTGGAATCGAGATACTCTAGTACCATGCACTATTTTTGTGACCTTATGCAGTGTCCTTAACTTAATTACTTATTACATACTCACAGGGAATGAGTAAGAAATGTGCCAAAGCTTGTAGCAAATGCCTGGCATCATGTCAGCATCATTTTGAACCATTGACCTCCAAGGCCACCAATGATCTGGGAGGGTCTTGAGGAAGTCCTGTTTCATTAATGGCCACACTCTGCCCTAAGGTGACCATCCTCAGCTCTCTAGCAGGTGCTTGCTTATGGGCAGGCCTTTCCCAGGATGCTATAGCTGTGACCCAGGCAGAGATTGGGCTCACTGACCTGCCTCTAAGGTTCTTTCCAAGTGGGAGAGTCTAGGATTCTTTCCCTCTCTGGAGACATTTTTACCCGGAAAGCCCAAAGGATCAACTTGCAAGTTTCCATGTCCTTTATCTGCCTTTCCGGACCTTTGTCTCTGCCAGTCACCCTCCAGAGGGCTGCCCAGGGTCCTCAGCCCTTGGCCTTTGTTCATGCAAACAGTGAAAGCTGGCGAGATGTTTGTGTATATAAATGCCTTGGGCATTTCCCTGTGTGGCTGTACCCCCTAGTCCTAACTAGCCCAGGGCGCTGAGGTGTTGCAAGGACAGACAAGGAAGTCCAAGGGATCTTCTTCTCAAGAGGCTGCTAATTACGTGAGGCTTCTTCTCAAGAGGCTGCTAATTACGGGAACACAGAATGTCAATGCCAAGAGGAAATTGCATGGTCGCACAGCTGCTGTCTCCCAGCGGACAGGGAGGTCCCAGGACCTGGCTTGCACCTGTCAGCCAGCCCTGCCCTTGTTATTACCTGTGGCAGCCCTTGAGGGATGTTCAGAACTTTATGGGGAGCCCTCCCTTTACAGAGACAGAAAAAAAAATGCCTGGTGTGGCTTTACACAAGCCAAGTTGATTGATTTACAGATCCTGCTGCTTTCGTTTTCTGGGCTCAGGACTGGATTCTGCAGCTCCTAGGAAGTGACTGTCCAGTCTGTCCCTGTTTTCTCTCACGCTATTTCCTCTACAGATGCCCTACATCTGTTCAGTACTCTGACCTGAGCATCTCTCATTTAGGGCAGTGCTGGGGGGAAGAAGTAAAACGCACAGTCTCTTCTGATAAGGGGGAAATGGCTGAGGTTTAGGTCAACAGCAAAACCTCAGCTCTGCTCCCAACTAGCTGGATGACCCTAGGCAATTACTGAAATTCACTGGACCCCAGTTTGCTTGTTTTCAAATTAGGGAAGTAATGAGACACACCTTTAGAACAGACCTTAGACAAGGGCAGCCAACGTCCCAGCTAGATCCCATGCTTTAGGTCAGCACTTTAAAAATTGTTAATGTCCACACAAATCATTGGGGATTATGTTAAGCTACTGATTCTGGCTCAGTAAATCTTAGGTGGAACCTGAGATTCTGCAGTTCTAACACCCCTACCACTACCACCACCACCACCACCACCACCACCACCACACACACCGGTGAAACCAGTATAGCTGGTGCAGGGGCACACTTGGAATAGCAAGGCCTTTTAGGGATTTGATGAGGATAAAATAAACCCATGTATATAAAAGTAACTGGAAGAGTGCCTCAGACTTGGTAGGTACTCAACTGAGGTCAGTCTTCTCACCCTCCTTCCTTGAAAGTTCTAGAAAAAAAAATTCCATGGAGGAGAAAAATTCACATGAAATTATTAGAATCTCAATAATAGGCTCATGAAACTTCATGGTATCTAGATATGAGCTCTTCACAAATTTCACTTTTCTCATGCATTACCTAAAAGTATGCTGAGGTGTTAGTTTTAAAAAAGTATCTTAGGTGCTTTTGATCCCATTTGTTTGGAAATTATTGACCTGGTCTGTGCCCTCATTTTAGAAATGAGTCCCAGAGAGGTGAAGTGACGTCCCTAAGTCTTGCAGAAAGTTCAGTCAATGATTTGTTCATTCACTCAAGTGATAGCTCATGCCTTGGTATCTACAAGGAGACCAAAATCCACTGATGTTCATCCTCCCGTATACTGTATTTTTAAAAAATATTTATCCTTTAGTTGTAGTTGGACACAATACCTTTATTGTATTTATTTATTATTATGTGGTGCTGAGGATCGAACCCAGGGCCTCACATGTGCTAGGTGAGTGCTCTATGGCTGAGCCTCAGCCCCATCCTCCCATATACTTTAAATCACACGTAGATGACTTATAATGTAGGATAGAATGCAAATGCTATGTAAGTAATCTCTATACTGTATTGTTTAGGGGAAAATGAGAAGGAAAAATATCTATACATGTTCAATACAGATGCAGAGAATTTTTTCTGAATACTCTTGGTCTGTGGTTGATTGAATCCAAGGATGCAAACCTGCAGATACAGAAGACTAACTGTGTTTTCTGAACATCTGCTGTGTTCAAGGCACATGTTGAGCTCTGAGGGGGTTCTCAGTGTCTAGCGGGCTTTAGATATCAGACATGGACCAAGGAGCTAGCGTGCACAAATATACTCAGTAACAAATGTCTCCATTCTATGCAGCTGGGGGACCTGATTTAGACTGGGGAATCAGGAAAACTCCTCTTAGGAAGTCACCTTTCAGTGAGATCTGAAGAGCCAGGTGGAGAATGGGCAAAGCTGGGGATAGGCATGGCACTGAGGTCGTCAGGTTGTTGACGTGGGCAAGGGGGAAGCACCCTGCTTCAGGCTGCAGAGCCACTAGCTGGCCTTCTGCTTATATCATACCTTCTCTAACTAGTGTCCCCTGGGTCTGTCTACAGCAAACGGGCCCCATCAGTGCCACCCTGGTGATGACACGCCCCATCAAAGGGCCCCGAGACATCCAGCTGGACTTGGAGATGATCACTGTCAACACCGTCATCAACTTCAGAGGCAGCTCTGTGATCCGACTGCGGATTTATGTGTCACAGTACCCCTTCTGAGCCCAGGGCTGCAGCCTCTGACACTGCCTCTCACCAGCACCAAGGGACAGGGGAAGAGAGGAAACAGGAGAAAGAACGAGAGCGAGCAAACGTTGCACCTTTCCTGCTGAACGTTTCCCAGAGGAGTTGGCTCCCCGAGTCTTATTGCAGACCTGTCACTCAGAAGGACATCCCACCCCTCTTCCTATGATGCAGTTATTGAAACACATTCTCATTGGCCCCCTGATGTGAGGTCATTGGTGATTCCTCAAGGCCTTCCGTTGATTTCCATCTTTTTCAAAGAAACTAGATTAGGTTGGGGTCTGAGTCTATGTTCGAAGACTGTGAACAGCTTCTCTTCCCTCTTCGGTTCCTTCCTTCTTTCTCTTGCTGCATTGCTGCTTTGCCAAGGCCCTGAGAGAGCTTGTGGGGGACGCTGGGTATAGCTAGTTTGCTTTTTGCATGTCCTAAGAAGGCTATGGAAACAAACCACAGCAGGATCTAAGGGCTTTTAAAGAGTCTATTTCAAAACCACGTCTGGTATTTTCAGCCATAAAAGAAGTTTTAGTTGTCCTTAAATTTGTATAACTGTTTAATTCTTTCTTGTTCATTTTGAGTATTTTTTTTTTTTAATAAGAGGTAGAATTCCTACAAAAGACCTCAGACACATACTATGTTCTGTCTTCCCAATCCCGGCCTCCTGTCCACATCAGCCAATGTTGTTTTTATTTTTCTGTTTTGTTTGTTTTGTTTTGTTTTTAAGGACCCCTTAATCATGCTTTCTTTAGAATTTTGACCTAACTGGGTTAGAAGACAGAAGTCTCCAAAATGATTAAATATTTGAAGAGATCTGGTGTTTGGCTCATTTGATACTAAGGCTTATTCAGCACTTGGGGTGGGTTCTAGTTCTGTTTGCACCTATTTATTGTGTGCTGGGAGAGGGCTGGACCATCATCCATGACTGGGGCAAGTCGACAGAAGGAGCCAGTGAAATTCGGGTTGTAGAGAAACTAGGAGCAAGCATCAACCCGAGTCCTGTTTGATGCAATTGAAAAACCACTGACGGTTGCTGTTATGTGGACTATTTGGGGTACCCTCCCAAGACAGTAATGTACTCAAGTCACTTTAAACTAGTGGCCCCCAACCATGCTACAAAGAAGGATAATGGTGGAACTTTGAAGAAAAACCCAATTCCCTGTGACTCACCCCAGAGAATTTGATGTTGCTGGTCTTAGGTAAGGCACAGGCATCTGAAGTTTTTTAAACTCTAATGAATAGCCAGAGTTGAGAATGCATTGTTAGAACCCCTGTAAAGTGAAGTGGACAAATGTGGCCCAGGTCCCAGCCACCATCTCTCAGCATCTTTGCAGTTCCTGTAGGATTCATCACGCTTCCTGCGACCAGGGACTCTGGATTTCCCTCAAGCCTTGGAACCCCAGGACCAGGGCAAAGAGCATCAACAGCAGCAGGCTCAGGTTGGATAACAGGTTGGGGCAACTGCCTTCATAGCCCATCCCAGGAATGGACTGGAGGCTCCTTGGTAGCCAAGGCTGAGTCTGGGTGCTGCCAACCTATGGGCTGGCAGTGTATTATTACAGGCCTCCGCAGTGCCAGAAGCTGAGCTCCAGACCCAGGGCTAGTAGGCAATTCAAGAGTCATCCCTTAGTCATCAAGTGCTCCAGTGACGGGAGATAGCAGGTTCAGCTCCTCATAGCAGCTCAGCAGCTGCAGGCCTGCCTTCCTCACCCAGAGCGTGTCCCCACCCCGCCACACACCTAACCTCACTTATGGCTCTGGTTGTTTTTTTTTTACGCACATCTAAACCTGCCTGTGGTGCTGCTCCAGTCAGGCTCAGGCTAAGGCGATGCTAACAGTAATAGTCACACAGATGGTGCACAAGTTTAGAAGCTTGGAGAAAAGGGACAAATTTCTTTAGACTTTCCAGCCCATGGCCTCAGTTGGGCTCTCTGCAGGGCAAAGGCCAGATGGCACCACTAGCTGCCTGGGGGCACCCCTGTGTGGGGAGACTGAGGTGTTAGCTGGGGTGGAGATGCAGAGGCTTCTGGGAGCTCTGCAGCCAGAGAACATCTCCACATGGCCCAGGGGTTGGTTCCTGTCCCTTCTGACAAAGAAGGCTAGAAAGATTTGTCTTGGTGGTTTGAGGAACCCATTGGTTTCTGAGGTGCCACATTTGGAACCAGACCCATGTCCCTAGGGCTTGCATTTTTACTCGTTAACGTTCAAATGTGGCTTCTTACTTCTAAGAAAAAGGACACAGAGAGCCTTCCTGAAGCAGGCTCGGAAGGCTTCTTGGACCTCAGATTGCTCTTTCAAAACACCAGCGGATGAGTTCAGGGTAAATGAATCAGAAGCATGTGGGATCAATTTACCTTAAAATACACTTGGGCCTAAAAATTAAGGAAGAACAGCCTGGGGCAAAGTGTGTACTGTGAGCCCAAACCCCAAACATTCAGGAAACAGTTCCAGAGGCTCCCAGAACCCAAAATGCTATTCTCTTTCACCCACCCCTTGAGGTGGGTCAGATGTGATTTATTTTTTTATTTTTTTATTTTTGCAAGATTGTAGATTGCTGCTGTGACTCCTACACTTGAAACTAGTGGGTTGCCCATTTCCAGGACCTGTAGATATCTGGACTACCCGTGCCTGTCGCTTGTCAGTGTTGCCCTACCCAGGAGCTGAGCCAGATCTTGTCAAGTGAAACCTGGTCTGTTATGTTCCATCAGGGCCTGAAGGATGTTGGGGCCTGTTGCGGAAGAGGCTCTGGATTAAAAACTGGGACACCTGGAAAAGTCCTTGTGTTACCACCTAATCTTCTGAGTTCCACATGGATGAGAACTTCCTTTCACTCGCTTCTAATTCTAAAGTTTTGTGATTCCTTGAAATGTACTTGAGGGATAACAGCCAGCATTTCCATTAAACCACAATTTTAGAGTTTCAGAGCCATGTGCCAATCATAACACTTTCTAATTGGCGCAAAATCCACCTACCTGTTGCCTCTCAGACTTGGGTAATGCACTTAGAAATTTTCTTAGGTAACAGTCTTGGCCCTTGGGTGTTGTTTGTCCAGATGGTGAAAAATTTAAATAGGTCCAATTACTTCATTTTCAGTGGTTTGAATATACTTTGTGGCCTGAGTGTTAACTGTAATGTGCACAAATTGTTCATCCTGAGCCAAGAAGTTCACCCAGAGAGAGATGGCATGACAAAGGAGTGACTATTCTCTACTCCTCTCTTGCCAAATGAAATCCTGTTTGAAAAAAAAAAAAAGTCTTTGTCTTAAGGGGCTAAGAGCTTTGGTTGAGAATCTTCAGTTGAGACATTGCTAGATTCAGAGAGGTGAACAAAGTCCACCAATAATAGCACATTTATCCAAAGGTTCATGCAGCATCCCAGAAAAACTGGAATACAACATAGTCATTTAGTTAATAGTGATCAAGACATAACCGTGTTATACAACCAAAATTTTCATGAATATTCATAGACATATGTTGACATTTAGAGTAAGATACCTCCACTTAGAACTAGTAAATAAATTTAAAGGAAACACAAAACAAATTTCAGGTTAAAATTTTCTTTATTTTTGGATATGGTTTGTACATAAGTCATTTTTTTAGGGGCAAAAAGTGAAACATTTAGTGAAGTTCTTCATTATTTTGCAGTTGGCTGGTGCTCATCAACTACAAACAAATATACAGATTGTTCCTGGTGTTAATATTTTTGTGCTCCAATTCCTTAGTCCCTTTACTTAACAGATGGCTGATATCTTCATTAGAATCCCTGAGGAGAACTAAAAGATGAGGTTTTAAAAAAATAACCAAGAGGCTCCAGAGCAAAGGAATGTGTAGAGGCAAGATTTGTTACTTTCTTGAGACCACAGCCTCCAGTGAGACTCTCCAACTTGCTAATTGTTCCGAATAATGAATCTTAGCCAGCAGCCATCAGGAAAACGAACTATAAAAGTGAGATGATAAGTGTCAGAAGAAGAATTAAGATCTGTTGATGATCTGTTAAGTTGCCACATTGATATCTTTTCATAGAAGGGAATTACGTGTTAATGGGCAGTGGTCAGCAGCACTGTTTTAAGAAATTTGGAATATTATTGACCAATATCGTAAAAATGAAGGCGGGCTAGATTGTGCCCAGATGTGACCATCAAGATCATTATGATACCAATTTATTAAGATCAGATGAATTATCAATATTGGTTTAGAGTCAGAGAGCCACTGGATAGCTTGGTTCCACTTTTGTTTGGGGAGAATTGCATCGGCTTCAACACAACTGCGGCGACACGCTACTAAATCATTCAGGGTCACTCCAGGTGCATCTGGGTTGGAATGAAATAATCACACACAGACAGAAGGTACCTTTTTCTTAGGGTCCAGTGATGGCTCCTCAGCCCCAGTTCCCACAAGGAAAGAAAGAGAGACAGACAAGAGAGGACACACGCCGGAAACCATCCTATTTACCGAGGGGAAGTCACTGGAGAAAGTTCCACCCAAATGAGGCAAGGGGTCGGGTTTCTAGGGGTTGAGTCTAGGTTCGGGATGTCTTGTGGTCAGTAGATTGACTGACATCTTGGCAAGTCACACCCATCCCAGGTGCTGTGGGATCAAAGGAGTGAAAAGGACACGCTTGTGCTCAGCCCAGACAGAGCAGCAACAGTCCAGTCCGCACATGCGCTCAGAATGCTCACAGCTCTCACACAGACCATGGGGGGCCCACCACACAGAACCCTTTTTCTAATTCTTACTTTCCATGAATTTAATGTTGCATAACTGGCTTATATCACACATAGCTACTGTGCTTCAAAATAGATGCCTTGGGGCCTCCGAGTTTTAATGTACAAACCGTTAATAATTAAAAGGGAAGCATGGATTGTTATTATCCTATTTGTGAATGTTTTCCATTCTCTGCTCTTACAATTTTTACAAAAAAAAAAAAAAATGGTGGTGAGGGCAAGCACCAAGCCAAGCTACAGTATTTGCAAATATCTTAGCTCTTTACAATGATGCTAATGTCATGCTTTTGTTTTGTCCTGTCTAGTTTTGTTCTAGTTCCCCCTTTAAAAAGTCCTCATGGAGATTTCTGTCCCAAGGCTGGCGTTTCCACTTAGCATTTTCCCAGTCTTTCAAAGAAGCAATCTGATAGGCCGATAGCATGGCTTCAAGAGCAAAGGCATCAGCAAATCATAAGCTACTTCTTTCTGTAAAACCAAACAATCTGGGGATGTGGCTCAAGCGGTAGCGCCCTCGTCTGGCATGTGTGCGGGCCTGGGTTCGATCCTCAGCACCACATGCAAAGACAAAGATGTTGTGTCCACTGAAAACTTAAAAAATAAATAAGTATATATTAAAATTCTCTCTCTCTCTCTTAAAAGAAAAAATTGCCAATCAAGGGGAACCTTCCAGCTCAGAATTCATGCATACTTGGGGAGAGCTAGACCTCCCACCTTGTTTCTTGCTTTTTCTTCCTGTTGGAACTTCAGAATGTATTATCTTTTAGGGCCTTCAGTACTATTTTTAAAAATCTGCTGACATCATTGTTAGAGGAGCAAAGTGCTCACAGGTGTAGGTACTGCAAGAATTTGGGGCCAGTAAAGTCACCAAAAAGGAGCCAGTCACCTCTCTAGGAGCAACTGCAAGAACAGGGCAGTTCTCAGAGAGGACAGGAAGTTACTCTTTCCAGCAAATTCTGAGCCTGTTCTTTACACTTACTCCCTTCAGAGCTCTGCTTCTCTCTAGGGAAATGACCTCAAGAGTGTTCTAATTTTTTTTTTAACCAGATTTCCCTCAGCCCTGTGCTCCTGCTTTTTTGGTCCTTCAACAAGC